CACACAGACACCCACACACAGACACCCACACACACACACACACACACACACACACACACACACACACACACACACACACACACACACACACACACACACACACACACACACACACACACACACACACACACACACACACACACACACACCCCCGCACACACACACACACACACACACACACACACACACACACACACACACACACACACACACCACACACACCACACACCACACACACCACACACACCACACACACCACACACACCACACACACACACACACACACACACACACACACACACACACCACACACACACACACACACACCACACACACACACACACACACACACACACACACACACACACACACACACACACACACACACACACACACACACACACACACACACACACACCGCCCACCCACCCACCCACCCACCCACGCACGCACGCACGCACGCACGCACGCACGCACGCACGCACGCACGCATGTTGGATGGCAGAAACTGGCTTCAGCATACCGCGTTCCAAGAGGGGAGAAGGAGAGACATGCTTAAGGGTTTTGGGATTGTGATGGTGAGATGAATAATGTGGTATCCTGATTAGTGTGAGGGCCCCCCCCCCCCCTCCCCCCCCCCAAACTAAATCCACCCCCGTAATAGTGTTAAAAAAAGGGACCCCCCCAAACTAATTTTCGGCCCCGGGCCCCCCCCCCACCGGCTCCTCTTCATTTCCTCTTCGCTCCTCTTCCCTCTCCTCTTCCTCTCCTCTTCCTTTCCCTCTCCTCTTACATAATTAAGCTCAGGTAAGCTCAGATGAGCTCAGCTCAGGTAAGCTCAGGTAAGCTCAGGTAAGCTCAGGCCTCCCCCTCCCCCCGAAAACCTTGACATTATTGTGGGGGTGCAATTTTTTTTTTTAAATGGGGTTCGGGGCAGCACGTGGACTACCCCCTTCAAAATTTGATGGCTAGGCCTCCTCAGATAAGCGAAGTCATAAGGAATCCTTGTTTTCCGGCCTGGTCGTCGACCCTGAACCCGGGAAGCTTGAAGGCGCGCCCCCCCGCCCCCCTCCCCCCGAAAACCTTGACAGTATTGTGGGGGTGCAATTTTTTTTTAATGGGCTTCGGGGCAGCACGTGGACTACCCCCTTCAAAATTTGATGGCTAGGCCTCCTCAGATAAGCGAAGTCATAAGGAATCCTTGTTTTCAGGCCTGGTCGTAGACCCTGAACCCGGGAAGCTTGAAGGCCAGCCCCCCCCCCCTAGCTGCCCTTCTTTTGCTCTTTTCTTTCATCATCTTCTTCTCTTTTTTTCTCTGTTCCGAAACCCATGCCCGAAAAACTTTACTTTATTGTGGGGGGGCAATCCAAATTGGGTCTCCTGAATAATTTTTGGAAAACTTTTCACTATTGAGGGGGTCCAGACTAATCAGGATACGACATTACTTTGTGCCGAAACATGCCAGGAATGGCGTGTGAAAACTTGATGAGACGATGCTTTATGAGGTTCCTGCCTCGCTGAACAGGATGCCTTCGTGGGTGTTACTTACAAGATGCAGAGGAATGGTACAGCATGAAATGAGGTGAAGATGAAGATGAGGGTGAGGGCCCCGCCGGCTACTCTAGAAAGAGTCCGGGCGCAGACCAACGCAGGTGCGTTCGCCGGGGTGGCAGAGCCACCCCCGCGCCCGCTCTGCACCCCTGCGAAATGAAAGGAAGTGACTCCGTCCATCCATGTTCTAGGATGCACCCCACCCACACACACACACACACACACACACACACACACACACACACGCACACACGCGCGCGCGCGCACGCGCGCGCGAGTCAATTTGCCATATTGGTTCGGGGCTAGGTAGAAGCATCATGCCGGTAGCAAAAACTCACAGAGCAGCCATGCCAATCGAAAACATGACAAGCCATGATGAAAATGCTGACTGTTGTCAATGCCTGGAAGCAGCATCAACCCGTCGGTCCCATGTTCGGTCTCGTGATCTGCAGAGGCTTATGTGCCATTGAGGACCTACTGCCGCAGAACATAGTCCAATTGCAAGATCCCGTCCGATATGCGCACCAGTGTGAGCTGGATGCAAAGGCACACGGGAATCACGTGATCCTGCCTGGTGATGGCCCTTGCACATGTTATCTGGACGTGAAAGTTGGGTTTTGTGTCATCCTGTCAGGAGCCTGTAGTGCTGAAGGCAGGGGAGCCAGTCATGCAGGTTCCTGAACCAGAGTGAATCGTGAATGCCCGCTGTCCATGTAGCAGCATTGCTACTGCAAGTGCGTCTATTCAGCTGCAAACAGCTGCAAGGTTCTGTCGTCAGGTGGAGTGGCTCTTCTCATCGCTTTGGCGTTTCTGGCTGGACACTGCCATGGGCGCCGTTCATCCGACTTAGTGCTCGCGATTCGTATTCCCCTGTTGAGTAGCACATGTAGCGCGGACATGCGCTGATTAGGTGGCTGGGCCGAAGAACACGCCCGGTTTCTTGTAGTGGTCTCACGATGTATTATGAGACGTTTCGCTCCCAGAGCTCTAGCGGGAGAAAGTCTCTTTTCGGTGCTTCACAAGTCGCTCAGCGTCACTCAGTGGTCACCAACCCTTGACACTTGCTTTCTGAGCTCCATGGAAAGCATGACATCCGACGAATTGCAAAGTGCAAGGTGTGCATGTCAGCGGATGACGACGTTGAGCTTCCGCAGCACCTGGGCCAAAAGATAGCTTGCCGGGTTATCTTGCTAGCTTTGGGCACTGCAGGAGTTATCAGCGCGCAATATTTCATTTCTTTGACCGTGCTGCTCTGTCTACTCGTGGTTTGACTTGTCACCCCAAGCTCGAAAGGTGCAGTATGATTGCCAGCTTGATGTGCGTGCACGGTGAAGCCCGGTGTCTTTCCAGTGGGACTGTGACGATCCTGTTTTCAAAGGGTCCTATGAGTCCTTCGTGACGTGGACACTGCCCTCATTGCTCGTTCCTTGCTTGGGGATATCCTATGAGACCGCCGTTCTTTCTAAGTCATTCTCAGGCTGCTGGATCTGCTGTATTGGTGTGAAGCATTCAAGCAAGGTTTCCACGCACGATAGACACGACAGGAAAGACCAAGTACTAGCAGAATCTGAGAAGACGACTCGGGCTCTGACATTTTCTGACTGAGCGGGGCGCTCTCTGAAAGAAGCGGGAAATGACGACAGACTCAGCAAAGGCAGAGCAAGGATCAATGCTGATGTGGGATGTGGGGATATCTGGGGTCTTGGGATTGAGTGTAAATAAATTGCAAAATATTCACAAAAGAGATTAGATGAATGTGTTATCCAACTATATACAAAGCAAAACATGAAGAACCTATTAAACAACAAGAAATACAAATAGTTAGAATTTAAAATTAAAATAAAATGGAATTACAAAAGAAAAAGAATTAGAAGTACAAAAACAAAAAAGAAGCACAAAAGAACAATTAAACCAACCAAAACATTAAATAACAAGAAAAAGATAAAACAAATGAACTGAATCGAATTCAATTTACAAAATGAACTGAATACAAATGATCAGAATGATATATTTGCAAATACAAATATTGATGCTAATTCTGGTACAATTTTACCAAGAGTTAAAGAACATACAAGTAATATGGACTCGGTGACGTTGACGTTTGGGTCCACGGGATCCTTATGTTTTTTGTTGCATTTTTTGCTGGTAAGAATGCTCGAAGTGGGCAGCAGTTTCCAGGTCCTGGGGCAACACAATTTGTAACATTATGCAATGCACGGATATCGGTATGGGACCCGTAGGGCCGTAGACCCGTAGGGCCGTAGGGCCGTAGGGCCGATCAGAGACGCAGAGCTTGGGGCCCGGGAGCTCTTCTGGACGCTGCCATGCGTGAAGTGAGCGTAAGCACGGCGCATGCTTCGCTCTTCGGACGATTTCCGACGGAGGGGTCCGACAGACACTGGCAACACCTGCATGTGTGCAGGCATATCATGAGACAGGCCTCCAACAGGTCTTGATTTGTTGTTTTTCCTCTCATGCGTTGCGTCGCCATCAGGGCCTGGCTCTTTTCAGATAGTGTCCTTAGTGAGAAACGTGTCACAAGAAGAGAGTGCCGGACAGGGTGTGGTGGGGGAGGCGGGTGGGGCGAGGTTTCCAGCGCTTGCCTTTTGTTGTGTCCAATAGGCTAGCTCAGCTGACCTTCGTTGCTGATTGCTACATATTTAATTAGTTTAGCGCCGCTCAACTTGATAGAGCGCATGAGCCTTCACGGATCTTCACGGTGTGGTCATGGGTCCGAGCCCCACAGTTTCACATCAAAAGGCGCAGAGTGTTGCCAAATTTGAGCCTTGATATTCACGTCCTGCCAAGAACGAAAGCCAATTTTGCCATCAACGAGCTTTAGCAGTTGCTGCGCTAGACGTTTGCCAACATCTGACTGGTGATGTAGGGAGGTAGGTGTGCACTAGTTTACCGCTCTCTCTTCCTTTTTGTGTTTTGGGAGTCTCAGTTTGGTGGTGAAGAAAGACCCGCGGGGCTGCTTTCCATGAACCGAGCCGAAGGGCGGACTTCACCTATGTGGCGGCGAACGCGGACCGGCCCTGGAAGCACTTCACGGGTAGATGGCAGGTGGTCAGATGCGACAAGTAAGAAGCGCGAGGAGAGCTGGCTCATGCTCTGCAGTCTTGCCGCTTTGTGAAGGCGATGAAGCCGATTCTTGCGGAGGGCCTTGCACGGTGCAGCAAGACGAGGCACAACAGCACCACACATGTGTTTCAGAGCTGGGTGCCGGAGCCTCTGCCTTGACAAAGTGGATCGTCGCCAGCATCTGCATTTCGGGCTTGTTCTCGTTGGGTTGACAGGCCACTTCGAGTGGTGGACCTAGGCTCCTGCAGCGGCTTTTTCGCACTCAAAGCGGCCTACAGGCCCCAGCTGCATTTGCTTCAGTCTTCGGTCATAAAGCCTTTCCACTGATCGTGCCATCACGTCAAACCTGCTCTGGGTTCACCTGTGAATCGTGTAGTCAGGCATCCAGAAGCCGATGTGGTTGCGATTGAAGGCCTGTGTTGAGCAATTTCAGTTAATTGTAAAAGCTTGCGCGCGCCGCCTCGGCAGCCGGGCCGGCCCACGGACAGGAAAGGGGGAAAGAGGGTCCTAGAAGGGTCCCAGGGGGTCCGGGGGTTTCCAAAGGGGTCACAGAAAGAAAGGTCCAGGGAGGGTTTCTGTAGCCACCGACAGGCGGGACCCCCCACGGCATCGGTTTGCAGCTCCTCTAGGCGATGGGGGCGTCCCACAGGGCGGGGAGGGGGAAGGGGACCGGATCCCGCAAACGCTTCTCGGCAGGAAGCCGAGGCGAAGCGGTGCCTCTGATTCATGGTCCCTTTCTCTTTTCGGGAGGGGGGGTGCCGGCCCGTGGCGAGCGAATCTGTACATCAGCGCACTTTGCTAACTTCAGCACAGTTGGCCCAGCTGCTCAGTCTTGCTTGCTTGACCCTTTCTGCACTGGCTTAGAGACTACAACTCCCACCGTTCTTTTTGCTTGCCAACTCAGCTTCAAGAAATATGGTCTTTGTCTCCATCTCTACGTGCCTGTGGTCTTCGCGATGAGTGTTTTCTGTTCAAGACTCTGTAGCCGAGCACTCCTTGATCAATTTCGCTGGGCAAATTTTGCTTTCTGGGTTTTTTGGCCTCGCGTCTTACTCGCTCCAGCCCCCCGAAAAAGAAACAGGACATCGGAGGACATCGGAGGACATCGGAGAGGTGATCCAGGGATGGTTCTCGGTCTCCTTTTTCTTCATCTGGACTCTTTCAAGATGCTGCAGCCATCTGCAGCCTCTTTTTGTGCAATTTGGCCCTTTCCTCACAGGCTTATACGGCTTCGCCTTCCCTCTTTCCTTTCCACTCATCTTTGGACCTAGGTAACTGTGAGTGTCTCATCGCTCTCTTTTCGCCGCCTCTTCTTCTCAACCTCTTACAGATCATCACGAACATTATCGGTTTCCTTTTGCCCTTACTCCTTCACACTTCTCTCGCAGCATGCTAACTGCTGTTTCAGCTTCTCGCCTTTTTCTGTTTGTCTCGTCATCTTGCTTCTCGAGAGCCTCGCCCTCGGCTGCGCATCTCTGAATGGCATGCAGACTTCCTGCACACCCTGAGAAGACGCTCGTCACTGCCATTTGTCCGCGCACGAGCTGATTAGGCCGTGTCGCGCAGTGCACTGCAAACTGCTTCACAATGATTGCTGTACCTTTTCCTAGGGTGTCAATGGGGTCACTTCACTTAGGAGTCGCTTCCCAGCCCTCCCCCCTTCCCTTCCTTTCCTCCCCCCCCCCCCCCCCCGCTCCCCTGCCACGTTGAAATGCAAGGAGGCAGGTTTTCACCTGATGCAAAAATGCAAAATCTTAGAATTTTCTTTCGGGTGGGTTGGGATTGATGGACAAATCTTGAGGGTTTTGTTCACCACAAACGCGGGTTACTCAGAATCGCGGAAGCTTCTTGAAGAAACGTTTCCAGCATCTTGTGCCTGTGAGCCGGGCCTCTTAATTGCTCATGGCCAGGCTCTGTGGGAATTGGCAATGGCTCTGTGGGCATGCAGGGGACCGTGCGACAGATTCTCAAAACAGATGCAGCTCGACGAGCAGCCCGCTGTGTCTTCTCACGAGCTTGAAGTGAGAAAGCTCGAACATGCTCATTTGAATTCAAAGGCGGTGCAGATGCACTTGCGTTGGATCCAGCGCCTGAAGCTCACGAACTGCTTCCTCGCGCCTGAGGCATGGACTTTCCTCGCATATTGCCTCTGTCTTGCATGTCCGGACATTGAGCGGCAGCAAAAGTGCCAAGTTCGACCCATGCTTTATTCGAGACTCATTCTCCGCCCTGCTCCCAACCATATCCAGCATCTCCATGAATTTTCAATGTGATGAAGTTTGATAGCCAGGTCTGGGACTACCTACACGTGTGCAACCTTGCAAAGACAAAGAGGCTGCAGTGACTGACGGTTTCAGTTTTGAGCATCAACCGGCATGGTCCAAAAGTGCTCCAGGGATGGTGGTTTCGCGTGTTCCTACGCGTGCTGTCAGCTTTTCGCTTCAGATTTGTCTCAGATGTTGAGTTCCTGTATCCAGTGCAAACTGCAACATTTTCAGAATATCGAAGATCTGGTCACAGGCCTATCTGCGATTTCATGTTCATGCTTTCGGTCAGAACCTTGAAGCCATGCCGGTGTAGTCTGTGACTTCTGGAGATGAGTTCTCGGTTTTCGGTTGAGAGCCGCCTTTTGTGGGAAGTAGCCCCTGAAGTGGCATAGTGTGGCCGACATGAGCGTAGAGACTTCTTGGCTAGGCTAGTTCTTGTTCCTATCCTGCCAGCTTTCGCTCGCAGTGTATACGTTCCCACTCAGGTCGTGCACCACATCGACAACGTCTCAGTGCAGCAGTACGCAAGAGTGGGCATGACCAGGAGCGGCGATCGGCGAGCGTCTAGCGAGTCATAGCGAGTCATAGCGAGTCGAGTCTAGAGGTTGACCACTTGCCAGCACTTGCCAGCACTTGCCAGCACTTGCAGGGTCCAAGGTGGCATTGACCTGCTGGCCAAGCTTCTGACATTGGCACCGAGGCAGCCTGTGCGTGCTTCAGAAACAGTGTAGTCTGCGGCCCATATCGCAAATGCGGAGGCATTTTGTGGAGCTTCCGAACGAACCATGGATGAAAGAGCTTTTCGAAGCTGGGCCTGCACTCGACAAGTGTCAAAACTATGTCAAAACCCTGCCGTGAGTGCCTCTTGCGGTTGTGCTCAGCTGCTAAGTTCTGTTAAGTTCTGTTAAGTTCTGTTAAGTTCCGTTCAGTCTGCCTTAAGGAGAAGTATGGGACCTCACGGGGCATCCTCGAGGCAGCTGCCGATGCCACCGGGCTGAAGTGGTCGCTGCGAGGCGACTCGGCCGGATCAAGAGACGGAAGAGCTCAAAGAAGGCTACAACCATAACATGTTAGAACCCATCGACTTCTGAGTTGAATTTGTGAGGCCCCATCTTCACGGCAGAGTGGTTCGGATCGCGGGATACCTGGGTGCTCGAAGTGCAGGACTCCAGACGACTTCATTCCTCTGCACTCGTCTGCATAGTGTTCAGTTATTGTTCCTTTGCTTGTTGACGTGCGGTTCAGGACGAAATGGCTGAACTGGACATTCAGTGAGGATCCTAGACATGGACTGTTGTGTGGCTCGCAAAAGAGGCTCACGTGCTCAGGTGTTGTCCCTTTCCGCTTCTTTACCGGGGAAATGAAGTGGATGCTGCCGTGGACGTGGCAGAGACGGAGCAGACTTCTCCTTTTCAGCAAGTTGCTTGGCCAACAGTGGCCAATGCGCGCCCGGGAAACGCCATTCACACATCAGGGCCTTGTTCTTCGAATACAGTACGGCCAGGAGAGGAACTGCTAGCCGCAAGCCTCATAATTGGCATCCTTCTTGCAGGGAGTCGGAGGATGTGTGACATGTGAAGATCCAGCGCTTCAGAGAATGTGTTGCATGGGACGGTTTTCACCTTCCACTCAGGTCGAGGGTTGGAACTTTCCAGGAGACAACTTGCGACAAAGCTGCAGAGTCGGGGTTGAAGTGAGAGTTGTGCTTAGCGCAATATTGCGTTTTGGTTCAGTTTTTTTCGTGTCATACAGAAAGGGTTCTTTGAAAAAAATCTGCTTCGCAAGAGACGCCACCAAAAATGATCTGCAGTTGGCAGAGACTTGCAGACTCGCCGGCGGGGGTCCCCTTTTTGAGCCATTTTGAGCTTTTTTTGAGCTTTTGCGAGGCCGCTGTCGATGAAGCTCGCCGGCGACAGCGATGTTGCTGGCATGGGTGGCATGCCCGCGAATCTTGGGAAGAATCTGGAAGATCAGAATCGCTTGCAGTGCCGCAATGCAACTCATGGCGCCACTCACAGTGTTCCTCCTCGAGTTTTCGTGGGAGTGGCTTAGAAGCCCTCCAAAATGCAGTATGGACATGGTAGGATGGCCACCTCTGAGGATGGGCGGGCACTTGGCAAATCCCCACTTGGGTGCAGCTGTGGCCTGAGTAATTTCGTTTGCAGGGTGCCTAGGGTGCCTGTTACAAAGGGTTGGACGTGGAGAGTCTCCCAAAATTCTGTCTTTTCAAACTTTGTTGGAATGGCTCTCCTTGCTGTTGTGAGGTCGCTTCTTGTGAAAATCTGTCGGGCCTGCTGTGGCCCAGCCGCACTGTGTCACTCTCTCTCTCTCTCTCTCTCTGAGTGTGTGTGTGTGTGCGCGCGCGCATGCGGGTGTGCCTTGCCGTGGGTCGTGTGCCGTGTGCCGTTTCGAACGTCATCTCCTGTGACTCGATGTGATGTGTGAGGCTCGACCCGGGGCTCTACGCGAGCGCCGCGGGCGCCTCGAGCTACGCGAGCTACGCGAAGGTCGCTCCCGAAGCGGAGCCCCGCGCTCCCGCGGGGGTGGCAGCGGCGCTCAAGGCCGCCCCCACGGCCCCCTGGCGCCCAAAAGAAACAGAGAGAGCAAAAAGAAGCGCCGAAGCAAGTAAGGAAAAGGGAGAAGGCAGAGGGAGAAGAAGACCTCCTTGGTTCTTCTCATGTGCTCCTTAAAGATGTGCCTCGCATGAAGGAAGTGCTACTCTTCTACTCGCAGTTGAGTGTTTGTGTGTGCTGAGGCTCTGCTCCTGGCTCACTTGACCTTGCGTGAAGCGGTCGCTGAAGCGGAGGTGGAAAATTTCCTGTCCGCATTCTCCGCTGCAGCATGCGCGTCATGCTGCACATGCATGATGGAATGTATATAGTGAAATGCAGTGGATTCATTGGAGTCCTATACAAGCAATGTCGCACCCAGCTGCACCAGCTACACACAATTACACAATAGTACACACCTTGCGTCAAAGCAGACAATTGCAAAGCACAACAAACTGCTTGCTAAAGCTCCTGATGCAAGAACGACATGGGAACAACTAAAACATAAGCTCAGAAGGGTCATTAATTCTGCACGAAGGTTTGTTCGAAAGGATGCATCTGCAAGCGTTTGTGGCGGTTGCCCAATGTAAGGCTTGTGCTCGAGCTTTGAAGCATGCTGTAACAGTGCAATGCGTGTGCCAGGATGCGCTTGCTGATGTGAGGAGGGCTGCAACACAGTTGCCTGAGCCTGTTGGCGAGACGAAGCAGTAAATATCCCAAAATGCCCAGCCTGCGTAGCGAGGAAATGGATCTGTGCAGGTGCACTGCAGGTTAGGCCAGTGTGCCTGTCAAGTTCTGCCACCCGTCACGCAGGCTCAAGCTGTACAGGCCAGTAGCTCGCCGCTTAGCTAGCACATGTTTCACGATAGACCAGGCCAAATACCGAAAAGACGTCGCTTGAAGAATGAATTGTTGAATCGTGTCGCAAGTTAGAGGCAGGTTCAGCTTGAAGAGGGTCACCGCTCCTGAAACGAAGAAGGGACACAGGGCGAAGGTAGTCGAAGTGTTCGAAAGCAATCGAAGCAGTTCGATTTGTCTCCATGTGATTGTAACCCAGGCTCGCACAAAAAGCGGGCGCCAGGCGGGCCAAAGCCAACTGCTTCAAGGTGGCATGCTGGGATGTGCTTGGGTTTTCGCGATGTTCTTGGGAAGTGAAGAACATCACCGGATTTATTGGGAAGATTAATCCGCCGCATGCCAAACTGTGAGACGAGTGAGTAGAGCTCATGTGAGGCCTGTCCGTGCCCGCGCCCGCAAGAATGGCGAGGTGCACTGGACTGCTCGATGACTTGTTGCTTCGAATGCTGTGAATCTTGCGGATGCTGCGCAGCCTGGATCCTGATGTTAAGGTTAGCGGAAAAGTGCAGAGCACAGCCGAGGAAGCGCATTCTCTGTTGTCCAGGCCTTCGGTTTTGCTGTTTTGCAACCGTGCTCGTCAGGAGGAGTGCGCCAACATCTTTGTCAACGACTTGATCCAGGCAAGGGTGGATACCGTCTTATTGTGTTTTTTGTTTTGATGTCTCCATGGATGTCTTTTCGCAGGTTGCTCTGGCGGAAGATGTCAACGTTGCCGCTGAAGATGCTGATTGCCAGAAGGTGAAAAGCTAGACTGGGGGAGTGTTGGTGGAGTAGTTCCGAGTTTGTGGAGGTGACTTTCTACGACTCGGATGAGGACAACGTGGAGGTCGGAGTTCTTTCAAACACATGCTTGGTGTTTCATCAACCAAGCATGTGTTTGAAAATCTACAGTCCATAGTCTAGAGCAATGGTGTCCATCACCAATTTTGATAGGACGACGTCTTCAGCCTCGCAGATCCCAGTGATGATGAGGAGGAGTATACGTCGAGTGTGGTCCATGTCTGTTCAGTGAGGCAAGTACTTGCATGGGTAAAGTTGCTCTTCATCAGAGGTCTGACGCACGGGTGACGAGAGATGCAGTGAATGAATGTGCATGATACAGCCTTTACACGTCAGACTACGATCGAAATCAGAGGTCTCAGGAGCCCAGAAGCGCTACCGAACTACGATGCAGCCTAAATCAGCAACAGGCGACCTTCCCGGAACATCACATATCTGATTGGGGGCGCGGAGGGGGTTCGATTCCGCGCAGCAGACACTCAGACACTCAGACACTCAGACACTCAGACACTCAGACACTCAGACAGTCAGCCATTTTCTCTTGCAGGAGACTTGGGTGCTCACGGGTCTCGTACCCAAGTGCAGTAGAAAAATGAATTTCCGCTGAAGTTGGGCAGTCATAGTGGCAATAGACTGAGTACTAACGGGTCTCCCACCCAACACCAGTATCTGACTGTCTGACTGTTTGCCGCACTGAACAAACTGAAAAGTGTCTGACTGTCTGACTGTTTGACTGTCTGCTTTTCAGTTTGTACTTTACTACTGCACTTGGGTACGAGACCCGTGAGCACCCAGGTCTCCTCCAAGAGAAAATGGCTGACTGTCTGACTGTCTGACTGTCTGCCGTCTGCCTGTCTGACTGTCTGACCGGCTGACTGTCTGACTGTCTGAGTGTCTGCTTTTCAGTTTGCGCCCCATTTGCACGCTCTCTCCATTTCCGTTTGCGTCACTGCAGGAAGTTGAGAGTGCCCTCGGCTCAGTTTTGGGCGCTTCCAGAAAGCTTTCAGTTGCTGACGGCATGAAGATGTCAAGATTGTAGATGTTCATTGCAGTGCGTTCTGTAGCATTCCGTGCCATGTTGGCACTCGTGGACTCGCGGACCCTGCCAAGATGGACTTGGCGAACGTGTTCGCGCAGCGTGTTGTGCAGCAAGGCCCGGCGTCTGCTGATCTGCTGATGGCCTCTGGAAGTGGGAGGTTGAATTGTCATGGTTCGATTGGGGTCATGTGGTGGCTCTGCAAATTAGGAGGTCTGGAGGCTGGCCTTGATTGAGCAAGGAGACAATGAGGCTTCATGAGGCTTCATCTTTCAACAAAGACACGCAACCAAGATGGCCTCTAACCTCCGGCCACTCTTTTGCTGCCGACTTCTTCCAGAGGATCAAACACTTTGGGTTTCTGCGACAAGACAGCTTTTTGCTTGTCCTCCCTCCCAGCTAACATAGCTCTAAATCGCGCATGAACAGAGTCTTCCTACCCACATGTATATATATATATATATATATACAGGTACAGGCAACATGAGCTTTTGTATATTTTTCAGTGCTTGCCCATGTTGCAACACTATGTTTATTGCAGTTTCGCCGAATGTCTGTTCATATTGCAGCACACATTGTGGCCATCAGCCACGAGAAATTTCCTTGTCAGGCTGCTGAGGCGGTGTGCCCCTAACCTTGTGAATCCGGCTCTTCGGCCTAAACCCGGCTCTTCGGCGCTTGGCCGATGCCTCCAATGTCGCTGCTGTCGCTTGCTCGCCTCTGTTCTTGCCTGGGGATTCCGGATGACTTCGCTTCATTGATGCAGGGTCGCATCGGCGAAGTCGGATATTGACCTCTGCAGGGGGCAGATAGGAAGGCTGTGGATCATCCCGTCCGTGTCCTGATTCCCCTGTCCGTTCATTCCCCGGGGTCGGTGGTGGCCACTCCATTCAGGCTTTCTTTGGGCATGGACCGCGGGAGGGTTGCGTTCGCGTCTCTGGCTTCATGCTTTTGCTGAGCCAGTACGATTCCAATAGCGCAGCTCGTGCGTCAAAACAAGTGCCGTAGAGTGGAGTGCTAAAATTAAGCGTTTTTCGGAAAGTTCAAGTTGGCTCGAGTTTTCGCAACCCAATGCTTTGGAGCTGTTGGAAAATTCGAGACGGCTCGAACTTTCAGAAAACTTGATTTGGGAGTGTGAGGCCCCCAGCCCCCCAAACTTAAGTTTTTTTAAAAACCGAGCGGCTCGAGCTTTCGTGACATTGGTGCTTCTTGGCTCACACCCCACCCTCTTTCGAAGCACTGAGGGAGAATGTTGGGGGTTTGCGAAGGGGTAGATATATGTATATGTATGTATATATATATATATGTACAAATATATATATATATATATATGTCAGGCCCGAGCACAGCAGGGAGCCCCACTCTTGTTACGCTTCCTCCGTGCCATGTGCCGGCTGCTTTCAACTTGTTATCGCTGGATGGTCGGTTTTTTTTCCCACCGGGCGATTTCAGCTTCGACTTCACGCACTTCTCTCCGGTTGTAACGGGGCGGCCTATGATTTCTCTCTGATGCTATACAGGCTCCGTCACTCCTTACACTCCAGCATCTCCGCTGGTCGTTATGATGAATTATCCTCTCTGTGCTGGTACTATGTTCTCTGCATACGACTGCTCTTTTGAGCCAACAGTCACTCGCAATGTGAACGAACATCTCGATTTCTGAGCAGAGCATAGCTGAAGACGATTCGCTTAGGTTCTTGTGTCAAATTTGTTTCGGACTCGCGGCAACCAGTCGCAGCTTGCGCTTGCTCAGGGGGGCTTTTACTTACCCATGTTGCTTTGTCTTGTTACCGAGTTCCCCTTTTTGGGCTGTCTCCCTGTGGACCCATGGAGACTTGTACAGGCCGTCCAATACCAGCCTAGTTTACAGAGCTTTTCCCAGTCATTGGTATCAGTCCTCCACGTGGTAGCTTTGAAGTTGCTCTTCTTTAGCTTGGTTATGTGCTTCTCATCTTCCATACCATCCACCTCCAAATAGCTGGTGCTGATGGTTCCATGATCGGAACTTACACCGTCCAAAAAGCTATATATCTCGATATCAACATATATAATATATATGTATATATATATATATGTATAAATAAACTCTCGAAAGTGCTCTGAAAGGATCTGAACCTCCTTTTTACTGTCTCGACAGTCGCATCTAAAGCTGAACTACGCATCAAAACCGACAGAGAATAGCAGCGTACATTCCATTTCCAGCCACCGATTATGACTGTGGCCAAGCCGCGCGGGCCTGTCGAGCGATCTGTACAAGCTCCGTTCGTATTTCCAATGTGTGCATCCAAGATTCGGATTTCAGGGTTCCCTGCTATCTTGGATCTTGGGTGTTGGTTCCAGAATTACTACATTCAGCAGGGTTGTGAGATGTATGACAAATATCTGCATAATCAACCCCTAACTACAAATATCTGCATAATCAACCCCTATGGCCCTAACTACACTAGCTTAAGCCAACTTAAAGTTGTGAAGTTACTTAATTGCAAACGCTTGCGCGCGCCGCCTCGGCAGGCCGGTTGAGGACAGGAAAGGAGGAGGAAAGAGGGTTTTTGCAAAAAAGGAGGAAGGGTCCAGGTCCGGGGGTCAAAGGTGTTTGGGGGGGGGTGGGGGGGGGTGGGGGGGGGGGGGGGGGGGGGGTGGGGGTGGGGGTGGGGGCGGGGGTGGGGAGGCGCTCCCTTGTACTAGTTGGAGGACCCTCCACGGCATCGGTTTGCAGCTCCTCCAAGCGATGGGGGGGGGTGCCACAGGGCTGGAAAAAAGGTCCGCCACAAAATTTTGTGTGGTTAGGGGGAAGGAGCCGCCTGCTCCAGACGCTTCTCGGCAGGAAGCCGAGGCGAATTGGGGAGGAAGGCAATATGTAAGGTAGGATGTCGAATCCGACATGTAGCAGAAATTTCGTCACATGCTTTCTCAGCTGAATCAATCTCTACGTCGCCAGATGGTGTTTAAGTTTTTACGTAGTTGAGTAGCTGAGCATGGAGGCATTTCAGTGCTAGAGTAGTTGAATGAGACGGCTAATTTTACTCGATATTCCTTCCGTTGCCGTGCCCGTACTTGAGTATATGCTTCTGCGGTGGAGAATGAGTTAGAATCTTGATTGAACTTATACCTTCCATCACATCTCTTAGGCAACCTTCGAACATTCAAATTGCCGAACGTATTAGAAGACAATGAAGGACCGCTACTGCAACCGATGCGCCAAACGAATTTCGGCGCACGAAATGGAGGCGGACCCGAGAAACCCAGCGTCTGAGTTCCCATTTTAACACATGTTGTTTTCAAAAAAGGGCATGCTGTTTTACATGTCGCAGCTAAGCGTAATTATGTTAAGCAAATCCGTTGAGCTTCTTCCGGTTTTTAAAATTTGGGGAGCTGGTACATTGAGACGACTGAATCAGTTGAGTTGTTTACGAGTTTTTAGCTTGGGGGAATAGGTAAATTGGAAGAAACTCATGTTAGAGGCTCCTTTGTTCTCTAAATCGATTAGAAAAAGTGAAAAGTTGCATGCTTGAAAGGGCTCTGGGCGGGATACTTTGTAAAAGGAGGGGGCGGGGGTATAGATAAATTGCTGTTGTATTTTGTTTTAAATGTGTGGTCCAGGTTTGGATGTCATTGCCGCCTATGTGCACACATTGCTTTCTATATGTCGGTCGATCGATGTTTGCCGCACATGTGGCACATGTGCACGCGTTGCTTTCCGCATTGTTTACAATATGCGGGACCGATTGAACTCCATCGCACCCGAAATTCAATCGGCCCGGATCCACGATCCAAGATCCAAGATTTCACAGGACTTTTTCAAGATCCGAGATCTCAGTGCAAAAGTTCTGAGGAATCTTGGATCTTGGATCCGGGCCGGTTGAGTTCAATCGGAAACGATTGTAGTGAAATATGCAAGGCTCCTCAAAACCATGGTTTTGGATACGCGTAGTGGTAAGCCATGGCAGCCCATAGGAGCCCCAGGTGAAGCCGAAACTGTTCCGTGAAGTTTGCTGCAGGCATCCAGCTGGACATGCAGATTCAGGCTGAACAGAAGGGTACGGCGGAGACAAAGGGGACCCGACAGCTGACCTTATCCTTTCCATCAAGAGGTTTCACTCGTCAAGTGAGATGCTAGCACACGGCTGGTTTACGAAGTATTAGCCCACAAGCACTGTGCATACGGTACAAGGCCGGCATTTCATTTCTAGCACCACAATGCAGGCTGTGTTCCAATGTGCTTTCCAGCTTGCTTTTGGGACTTCCATGGTTCTGTTTGTTTTTGTGCGTTGAAACCATTCTGTGCTTGCGCTGCTGTGTTTAGCCCTGTCGGCATCCATCAGATGCACCCCGATGGAGCCACTTTGCAATCTGGCAGGCGTCTGAGGATGATGCTGATGCCGAGGACTTCGCTGAAGTGGAAGATTTTGACGAGGCCATCAATGAACCATAATGCTTGTGCTCGGCTGCTTAGCCTTGTTGTGATTTGCTGGACGGTGAGACAACTACGAGTCGCAACAGTCAACTGCCTCCTAACATCGACAAGCATTTTAGGATGATGCTACCCAGAAGGGCTTGGACGATCTGCGTGCGAAGGCTTCGCTCTGATTCTGTGCTGAAGTTTTGCATCGCAAATGGGGCAGCTGATGGCTTGTTGATTGTCTGCAGGCTGCAGTTCGGCACTCTTCAATAATCTTCATTCTTCAAAAGGTAGAATGACCTCGGGCCCAGGCATGTTGCATACCGTAGGTGCCGAGATCCCGGACTCGTTTCGACTCGTCGGAAACCGGCAGTCCTTCTACGTAAGCCCCAGCCCCTGCCGAGCCCGGCCGAGCCCTGCCAAGCCCCAACAGCCCAACCCGTGTTTGTCAAAGCCACGAAAAAGGCCTCCGCCCTTTTGCAGGTGGGAAGCACCTTGGTCAGCGCTGCCCGGGATGGCAGCCTCGGTGCATCTCTTGCACAGGTCCGAGCAGAATTACAGGTCGGCCCGCAGGGTCATGCAGGGTCATGCAGGGTCATGCAGGGTCATGCAGTTGCTTCAGTTTGGTCAGGGCCAGAGGCCGGCAATGCATGGCAGATCACGGTTGCATATGCGGAGTGATTGTCGGCAGCATTTGGCGGCAAAGCTGTGGACTGAACAGGCGGAGGAGGATGCAAACATCAAGAACGAGGCACCACGGTCAAGCGACTTTGGTAGCTCAGAGAGCAATCCTGAGATCGGGTGTGGACATGACCAGGCCCGTGACACCTTGCTCCGTGCTGCCAAAAGTGGAAGCCTGTCGTCGGCCCTTCGAGCAGTCTCCAAGGCAAGACGTATGTCGCTTGATTGGCTTTGGGCACAAACTGCACATGTCAACATCATGCAAAGATGCAGTTCCTTGCAAACAAGACGTTTGCGAGAACATGCACGCTGTCGGCTCTTGCATGACCTCGTCAGGCGGCAGCCCCATCATTGGATGTGGAAGCCCTCCGCCTCGAGGCTCCATTCACTCAAGTCAGTTCCGAGTCAGATATTTGTCAGAATATGCCAACATGTTGGCAACACGTGACAGTCGTACAAGTCGTAATTCTGAGTCGTATGCGTCTTTGTTCGCACCATGTAACACCTTTGGGAAACATTGGAAAACAGGCTCGTGACACCCTGCTGCGGGCCGCGCGGGACGGAAGTTTGGCAGCTGCTTTCGAGGAATCACACGAGGACCGTGAGCGGGTTGGGCATGTCAAACACTGCATAGCCAGAAAACAAAGAATGGAGGGGCTGGAGACCTGTCATGTTCTCTGTTCAATCTTCCCCCTTTAAAGAAGGAGCCAGAGGCCGATGTCGAGCTCTTGCGGCAAGAGGTGCAGCAGAGCGAAAGTTGAGCAAGGAATTTGTCTGAGCACATTTGAGCACATCTGAGCACATCTGAGCACATCTGAGCACATCTGAGCACATCTGAGCACATCTGAGCACCATCTGAGCACTCTGAGTTCTCACCTCATTTCCTTGTTACCAGGCCCGCGACACGCTGCTCCGGGCTGCCGGTGACGGCCGACTGGCCGCGGCGTTCCGCTCTGTGCGTGAGGCCGGCGTCCAAGGATATCCAAGTGGAGGATGTCGAAGGACAGCTCTTGTACTCATGGAATTTCCGTATGTTCGCAACATGCAGCAAGGGCTTTACGAATGCTTTCCAATGCTTTGCAGGCACAAGCCTCCAAGTCCAAAGTCGCACTGCAGGCTGGATCCTGGCTAAACTTGATTTATACAATGCCGCGAAGGTGGCAAGTCTTGTTGTAGACACATAGACCCTGTCACCGATGTCTGTCAAGGCCAGCAAGGCCCACGAGATTGAGAAGCTACGCCGTGAGGTATCGGACCCTTAAGAGTCAGTATGAGTGAAGAACGATAAAGAGCGGAGTTCAGGCTTCTTTCTGGGGCCTGTGTGGATGCTGCCTGATGTTTTCTGAAGTCCTTTTGACTGACCTCATCTTCCGAGGCGAAGCGACCATGTGGGATCATCTATGCCTTGCAAATTGGATTCAGGGTTTGATGACGCATCAGAGAATTTTCATGGAACATCTTTCCTACTCGCGGGAGGCCGCCCAGGCTTTGGTGGTCGCTGCGCACAACGGCAACCTTGCTGAGGCTTTGAAGCAGTCTCGCAAGCCGGAGGCGCGGGCTTGCGACTTCAGGGGCTTGGGGCAAGCGATTCCTAGGGGATGCGGCACAGCATTGCATCAGGTTGGAGATAGTGCTGCATTCCGTGCTGCCACTGGCTCACTTGCTTTCAATCAGGTTGTGGTTTTTATACTATGGTGCGCACAGTCGTGCCAATGACATGCTTGAAAGTCCCTTAAGTCCCTTGCCCCAGCATGTCACTCCAAACCGATCAGCATTCCAGCTAGCTACTTGTTCATTGTGGCACTGCTGACATCAAGGCAAGCGCCGGTAGAAGGTCCAATGATTCCAATGGTCCATCGGTCACACTTGTAGCTTCTGGTCTCCGTGAAGCCTGGCTATCGGCAGTTTTCGAGAACACAGAGACCTGTCCCTCGAGAGAAGAGGCAGTGGAAATTTTGAGCGGAGTGGCAGCCTCCACTGACAAGACCTGGATCCACAATTTCGAGCCAGAAGGCCCCGCCGGCACAACCCGGCGCCGGCCGGCCCCGTGCCCAATGAGGACGCGTCAAGAGAGGAGCGTCGTGAAGGCACTGGCAGCCAAGCAGGTCGCCATTTCCAGGAGGCTGGAAGAAGGACAACTGAAGGACATTTCCTGCCAAAACGTCTGCTTCGCCACACGTCTCTCTGCAGACGATTGCCAAGATGCAGCTCTCCGACGTGCGCCGACCCTGGAAGGGACTCTCGAGGCTCCTAAGGCCTTGCCGGAGCACCTGACATGACTCGCGATGCTGGACAGTTTGGATGCCTATGAGCAAGGCGTCGAGTAATATTATGGAGGGTATGGGAGGGCTGGCCCCATTTCATCTGTGAGTCTCGTGTTTTGCCGGGGTGGAAGACTGCCCAGCTGGGGACAGAGGCTTTTGGACTTAAATGACGGACGGCTGAGTGTGGCAACTTTTGATGCACAGGAAGCTTTTCTCAAGCGAGCATGAGCGACGAACTCCCGCAACTCGTGGTTGACTGGCAGGTTTTGCGAAGCTACTGGTTCATGGGCTGGGGCGAGCGGAAGAAGGAACAAATCAGGGGACATAAGTGGACCCCGGGCGAAAGCACAAAATCTGATTGTGCAGGGAGGCGCTCTCAGACAAACAAGTGTCATGGCGCTGTTGATGTCTCCACATGTGGAGACTGCGCTTTCGCACAGTAAACGGAAGCAGAAAAGAGAGGTCCATTCATTGCTGGAACTTAATGGGGTTGCAGGTGCTGCACAGTCATTGGCCCAAGAACTGCACAGAAGGTTGACGTGGAAGCCCTTCGTGTGGAGGTTGGGCAGATTTTGCTTTTCCTGATTTTGTTGAAGCATGAAGCCGGTTGCTGCTGAGTTTGCCCAGTTGTACAGGCCCGCTCCACTATGATCCGTGCTGCCCAAGATGGCAGCCTCCGGAAGGCTCTGGAGGAAACTCGTGTCGAAAGCCTTCGACTTGAAGCCGCATCCTCGGGGACCGTGACTGGGCAGAGCGGCTGCCGGCAGCTGCGTTTTTCCCCCGCTTTTCCGCTCCTTCTCATGACGCCCAGGCTCGCGACCGGTTGTTGGCCGCTGCCCGTGATGGCCGCCTCGCGGCAGCCCTGCACCGCAAGACGGCCGGCTGGACACGTTTGGTTTGTGAGATTTTGTGAGGCTCAAGTCTGTCGGTTGGGATTTCCCAGCCTATTGCAAGCCCTACCCTAGTGCGACAATAGTATCCTTGGCAAAAGCGTTCACTTCAGAAACGGCAGTGCCCGTCACAACGTGGATGCTGCGTTGGGCCCCAGCTTCAAATAGTACAGAAGAGTAAGAATCAGCAACGCGAGGGCAAGCAAGTGCAGTTGCACAGCAGAGCTGTGACGCTGCAAGAGCTTTGGAGCCCCCACGTGGCCGCCCACATATATTCAGATGATACTATATATGATGTGCTATGCACTCAGCCCTGCAGGGCTTTGAGGCAATGGAAAACATGCAGGCAGCGTCCACATGCGTGCCGAGCTGTGTAGCTGTGCAGTTGTTCTTGTAAACCTAGCACCACTGGAAGAAAGCAAGGGAGCATCAACGAGAAAACATTAGCATGCCGAACTTGGTAACATGAGCACGAAGAATCGACAAATCTTCAATTGTCGAAAAGCAAGCTGCAAGGATGCCGAGTGTCGAGGACACAGCCAGGCGCACACCGCGACGTGCCGGGCCGCACCCTGGATGGCGGACGCTGAAGACTGTCGACCTCTGAACCGGAACCCTCCTTAACTGCGTCGAGAACACTTCAGCGGTCGAGAGCAAGCCTGAGCCTAGAGCAAGCTTGATGACAAGGCGAACCCCCATTTTTTTGTTGGGAAGCCGAGGTGGCGAACATCAATTGAATTTGTTTTGGCAGCACAAGCAGGGCTCAGCACAACAGATCTAGATCAGGAGCGTGCACATGAGTGTAACTTTCGACATGTTCTTTCTCTTTCTGTTTGAGACCTATTTCTCGTTGTGCACAGTGTATGGCACTGTCCAGAACGACAGCGGCACAGATGCCGGGACACGCCGAGCCATTCCGTGACATGCCATCTGACCCATTTGACCCTGACACTTTGATATTTGTGAGCTGACGAGTGTGCGCCAGGCCTCGGAGGACCTTCCCTTGCTGTTGCTGTGTCAAGTTATGTCAAGTTGCAAGGTTTCGCCGATAGGGTGAAGTTCGAGGTATGTGGCATGCTGGCTGATGTTCCATACAGCTGTACTTGGACATACTTTGACCAATCTGCGCAGGAGCGAAGCCTTGATGAGATCCGTGAGAAGGTTGCCGGATGTTGTGAGCGCAATCAGCTGCCATCGCTGGACAGACTTGCAATGTATTGAAGTTGACACTCCTGCCAACAACTGAAGAATGAAAAACTCTGGCTTGTCTCTCTGACCACCCTCGCCCTTTCTCACTCTCGCTCTCTGCGGTCGTCCTCACATATTCTCAGTTGCTCACACTCACTTTATCACTCTCTCAGTCGCTCACTTTGACTTTGACAGGCCAAGTCGGCACTGCTCAAGACACTAGAGACAGGGGACTTCCAGAAGGCCCCGGACACATGGGGACGCCGCATCATGTCCTGCATCAGGCCTCGTTCGATCCGTAAGGCCACAATCCGCAGAATCCGCCTGCATTTTTTGTCAGAAGAGCATTTCAGAGGACGTTTTTCCGTCAGGCCATGGAGTCCATACGCCAGAAGCGTGAGGCACTGGCTCCGGGTAATTTGCATGAGGTTCCTTGCCTGTCCACTCGTTTGTGCTGTGATTCCAATGATGATTCCAATGATGATTCCGCGGGATTGCCACTGGAAAATATGCAGCACTGCCAGGCTCCGGCAACTGTCGAGCTCGGTCCTAAACTGGAACAAAGAATGCAAACCTTGTGAGTGACTCGAACAGTCCTGATCTCAAATGTGTGCTAGGTCAACTCCGTTCCATTTGTGCCCTTCAGCCGGGCGCTTGTGCTTGATGTAAGAGACAATGTAGGCTCTGGGGAGTAAGTGTGAGAATGTTTGTGAGGTTGGGACCTGGCTCATGGCGCCGTCATTCGAGGTGCCCGGTATAGCTATGGTATTTGCAGCTTAGTGCAGCTTCAAAGTCGCAGCTGGAGCTCGGCAGGTGCAGGCGGCCCCGAAGCTGGGCTCATACGAACAAGTTGCAAACGGTACGATATCGGATTGCTCCCCCGCCCTGCCGCGCGACTCAGGCCTCAACCAGTTGAACAAGCTGTCGAGGCCCGATGCCCAAAGAGAACGCTCTACCAACGCACAACCAAGCACTGCGTGCCGATTTGCCGACAAGTGTTGCACCCCACCTCTATGGACTTGTGGCCCATCTTTTGGTGCAGGAGAAGCCAGCCTGCATCGACCAGACGTGCTCAGCCCAGCTGAAGAAGAGTAAGTTAATGCTGGCCAGTTCAATGTTTGTGCTAACAATGCGTTCTAGCATGTTCTGTCGCATGTCCAGCTCAGCTAGTAGTATCAACCAGCATTGAGTTTCGACCTTGGGTGTGCCAGTTCGTGCCAGTGATACATCCTTGGTCTGGTCCCAGGCCCGACCGCCCTGTCTCGCCAACAAGGGCGCGCTTGCCCTAGACTCCGTTGCTTCTGCGCATGCTTGCTCATGCACATGCTTGTGTTTGGGCATGTGTTTGTGTTTGTGAATGTTTCTGTTTATGTGCCATTGTGTTTGTGTGAATCACTTCATAAATGCAGTGGTCACTTGGATCTTCTGGGCCGTCTTCAGTCGTCCAACTCCCGATTCCCCCGATCCTTAGGCTGAGTCGGTTTTCTCCTATTCAGATGGAGGGGGAGATGTCTGGTCAAATGTTTCTGTTGTCCACAGGGTGGCAGCTTTAAAGAATTGGTGGCGCTGCTCTGCTGCTCTCCTCTCAAGCTCTGGTCTATTTTGGGAGCTGGTTACGGCCTTAGTTGTGGGGCTTCATCGCTAACTGATTCCTTGACTTCAGCCCCAATGCGGCTCCAGGTGAGCTGTGTCCAATTCGAGCCACATATATAGTAGTCTGTGAGAAAGGACGTGTACCTCAAGCGTTTATCAGTCTGGCTTTCGGCTCAACATTCACAAGTGGACCAGAGTAAAGCAAGCTGTCATGCATCAGCCAAACCCCATCTCAAACCTCTCCCACTCCAAACCTCATACGCCCTACACTCCAAGCCACCTACACTCTGCGCTTTGCACCTAACCTCAGAAGTCTCGAAGTCTGGGAGGACTTTCGATGCATCAGTCTTTTGCATAGACAGCGTGCTTGCTACAAACTGCAGGGTGGTATGTCAGAACTGCCTTCGGTGCCTGGGGCGAGGGGAGAGTCTCGTTGTCTCACCCTTTACAAGATAGACCTTAGACTTGAAAGGTAGCAAATTTACGGGAATGACAAAGACCGCTCTTGGCCCTCTCGAGAAATCAAGTTCCGTTCCGTTGGAGGTCCGGCAATCATGACCAATTCCGCCCTTTCCGGTCTTGGTCAGTAGTATATCACAGACATATACGTGTCAGCAAACCCCGCGAAATCAAGAACGTTGCGGTTCTGGATTGAATTCGGCGCCATCAATCGTTGGAGGTCGCGCACGCGCGGCCTGGCCGCGCGTGTCCGCGTGCCCTCGGAGCGTGCATTCACACCTGAGGGGCCGATGCAAGGCCAACATCCATGGGTGGATGGGGGGCCAACATCCAGGCTTGAGGGGTGCATGTTGGGCCAAAATCCACGCTTGAGGGGGTTGGGCCACCGTCCACGCTTGAGGGCCAAATGTTATGCCAACATCCACGCTGGAGGTTGTTGGGCCAGCATCGGGCCGACATCGACTCATGAGGGCTGGATGTTGGGCCAAACATGCACGCTTCAGAGGTGGATGTTGGGGCAACATCCGCGCTTGAGGGGTGGATGTTTGGCCAACATGTGGAATGTTGGGCCAACATCCACGCTTGAGATTGCATGCGAACAGAACACGCTTTTCCGCAGCATCGGCCGGCCATGCCGGCCTGCACGATTCCCTACAAGATGAAGGCGTTATGACCAGCAGCAACATGCGAACTGACTTGTTCACATCACTGCCATCCACAAGATGCAACTTTCTGGCAAGCAAGCCAAAATGAACGTTGATGAGGCCACCCACATCAAGGGGACCAACGGATAGACAAGTGGACACAAGGATTCCAGGGCCCGGCAGAAGCCGCCCACAGCGGAGACAAGCAGCCCAGGGAGAGACAAGGAGTCAGGCCATCTGAAAAGCGACAAAGGAAAGACAAGCGGAGACAAAAAGTCCCTCCCACACATGCTGTGGTATTCAAGTGTTCAGCTCGATTGGTGTGTTTGTTTGTGAAAGTCCACGAGTTTTGGCTGAGTGGTGCGGAAGGTTTGCGCTGTTTTCTGCAGCTGTTCTCAGGACCGGCCGCGCGAAACGCCGCATCATCGGAGCCGTCGTTCGCATTCCAAACGAATCTTTGCCAGCTGGCTCCTTGAAGAGAGCACCAGGACTCCGACAATCCAGTGAGTGCTGCGCAGCCCAATCAGCCCGCAAGCATAACAGCCAAGGTCGATCCCCAGCCTCCAGCAACATCACCCACGCTTGCCACCTGATCTTGCAGATGTATGCTCATACGGCCCATACGCACTGAATCCACTAGCAATAAGTGGCATATGGCATAGTGCAAAGGTCAAAACGTCCCTGGGTCATGGCCGGAACCTCAGACCTCTCGTGGCCCCGTCAGTGAGTCACAAGACCTCGCGAGGCTGGTTCTCCAGCAGCTGGCCTGCGCGTCAAGGAATGGTCACGCGTCCTGAGGAATCTTGCCGCATCTTGGCACATCTGCCCTATTCTGCAAGGAGCCGCCTGTTTTCCACCTGGATGATGACTCGGGTTGCGAGGGACAAGGCCGCGGCGTGGCACTGAGGATCATGAAAAGAATGATGAGTTGCAGGCGTTCTGCATTCGCTCTTTCGCATTGCTTCGGACCGTTGTCCAGGCGTCATGCATCGTCATGTACTGACATGAAATCGTCAGAAGACTTGAGGTCTTACACGAAAAACGAGTATCACGGCCATGCCAGGGACTCGGCTGTTTCACGCCATCACGACAATCTCCAGTCCAGAAATGTGTTGAGCACTGTTGAGCACCGTTGAGAATCATGCAGCGGCTGAGCCTTGATTTTCAGAGATCTGATGAGAGTGAGAGCAACAGTCAAGACATGCTGCGTAGGTTCGAGGCGATGGGCAGTACCCAGCTGTATCGCATGAGCACTCCGGAAGACGAGGAGGCAGAAGATGCCACAGGATCTTGAGATAGCTTTTCTTTTTGATGTCTATTGCAGTCCTGCATTCATCCATGTGCAGTCCAGTCAAAGGAGTTTCCAGAATCTCGAGATGTGTTGGTTTGCAGCTTTGCACATAGTTGCACCACTCTGGAGCCTGCGGCTGGCAGGTTGTTTCGAGGCCCGTGCCTTTGCTTCTTTCGCTTTGGGATTTGCAGACATGTTCAGTCCCGTCTAAAATGTCCAAAGACATCTTGGCTTGAAGAAGCCGTTTCCTTACGGAGAAGAAAACCCACCCAAACAGAAGCCCAAGCAAGGCCATGCCTCCCAGTGGATTGTTCTCCTCATTCCCGCTGAATTGCGAATCATGACCAGCACACTCTGGCAACTCAGGGATACTGATCACTGTGACTTCAGCTCATCATTAACATTGCTGAGGATTCCAAACAACGAATGCACGCGACGCTGAATAATGAATGAACTATCTGGATGAAGCAAGATGCACATATGCACACGTGCACGCAGAAGCAGACATGAGAAGAGGAACGAGCGCGATTCAGAAACTGGGCGCATTCAGGAAACCAGGATGTAGGAACTTCAGCGATTCAGGAAGCTGCAGTTCAGAAAAAGCTAACTAGGCGATTCAGGAAACTACTCTCAGGAGGCGGGGAGGGGGGTGGGAGGGTGGGGGGTGTGGACGATAACGTTTGTTCAGATTCTGCGGTTTGCCGACTCTACGCTTTCCAGTTTCCCGATTCCGCGTTCCAGCTTCCCGAATCCTCGGCTCCGAATCCATGTCTTCTGGTTTCCCGGATCATGTGTCTCCAGTTTCCGAATCTGCTTTTGTTTAGTTTCTCGAATCCGCACTTTTGGTTTCCCAATTTTCATTTTCCAGTTTCCGAATCAAGGTTTTCCGATCTCGAATTCGCGTTTTCGGTTTCCGAAGAATAGCGGGTTTTCAGAGGTGAAGAGAAGACAAGATACGACAACTGGTACAAAATTCAGAGATAGGCGAAAAGAATCGAATGACGACATGACAGAACGAAGATAGAAGGAACAGACAAGAGTGCAAAGCGCGGGGGTGGGGCTGGAGGAGGAGTGCGTGTTCCTGCCTTCCGAAAGAGCTCTCACCTGCTCGAACGCGGCGTCGCCCCAACAAGTGCATGTCGCCGGAAGCCACCTCTCGAGGAGATGATGCACGGCTAGGCACCGTACGCAGCTTATCCCTGTTCTTCCTGTTGACTGTTGAGCATTTTTTGTGCGCATCCGAAATGACTACCACATGAAAAGCGTCTTGTATCAAGATTCGCGCGTGCCACGTATGCTCATGATGTTCGTGCACGAGACGTGTGCACACAGACATACATGGCAATACTTAGGTGCTTGTCGGGGCCCAAATTTGGGGCAGTTTTGATCGAACCTGAACCATAAGCAATGCGTGTCTCGTTGCTCAACACACTAGCCGTGGCATCATTTCGACCCGAGCTATTCGGAATGATTCTCCCTTGGTACCTTGGCTATTGTTCTTCTTCCGACAAGTCGGTCAGTTCGCATCTTCACAAGAAGTAAACAGCAATGCGATGTCACAAGTTGAGTCAGTGCATGTGGCATGCGGTGGCTTTCGCCAATGGGTAGCCCATTCCCATGATCAGGGATGCCACGATCCCCCGGACGCTCCCCCAAAAAGGCGATTGTTTCGAGGATGGGCCAGGTGCTAGTCGTAGTCCTGGTGGCAGTTGCAAAGGTGCATGGCTGAGAGCTCCAAAGCGACTATCGTAAGATCGGGTGATGTTAAGGCACATCATCGAGCTAATCATAACCAACAAAGAATACAGAAGTAAAGGTCTATTCATTTCTATGTATATATATATATATACACATTTAGTATATCTATATAGCGAGCATCGAAAGCTTACCAACGGACGACACGGTCTCATTCCCAGCTTCTGGAGGCCGATCTCCAGCTGCAAGCGGACATCTGGCTCAGCACTCGGAGTCTGCTCAGAATTCTACAGTGTACAGCTTCACAAGTGCTTCACACGCCATGAGTTTTAATGAGTCAACAGAGGGCCTCAGCAAAGTGCTCTTGAAATCTTGTGCGGGTTGTCCTTGTTTCAAATTCTTCTGCGAGGCATGTTTAAATCTGCATCCACAGGCACGAGACCCGGACCTGAAGAGTGAACTTGGCTTGAGAGACTGGAGAGTGAGAAGGTGATCTAGTGTTTAAACTAGTGTTTTGACGATTCACGTTGCTGTTGGTGCTGCTTAGGCTCCTCTTCTTTATTTTCTTTGTTTTGGCTCTGTGCCACAACGGTGCACTATAGAATGACTTCAAAGGTGTCTTCATGTGATTGAATGTGAGATGTTTTGAGGTTCTGTCTCAGCCATGGCTTTGGACCTTGGGCTCACGACATCCCCGATTTCAATGGACGTGAGCTCCAAGAAGGCTCCGGCCTTCATCTTCGCGTCTCGCATTGGTCATGATATGTCATGATGTAATGGGTCTCATGTTCTGATACCGTGATTTGACAGGAACGCCTTGGAACACCTGGAATGGGCTCCCGTTGCTCGTCCGCTGGGGCCCATAGTGCTATGGGCCGGCAGCAGCCATATTGGAACAACAGGAGCAGGCTAAGCCATCAAAGAAGCCATGACACATTTGGTGCGTTGCTGCTCTGATTTCATGGATTGCTTCTGCATTTACGTCATACATCGTGCTAGGATCAGCTTGAGGCTGGATAGGCTTGAGGCTGCAGGAGCTTGAGAGAATAACCTAGCCGAATCTCAATGGCTTTTGAAGATTTATCTTGTCTTTCGAGGCCACGAAGCCGGGGTTGTCTTTGTTTGGAAGAATTCTGTCTGGAGCACATCCCGGCAAACCAGAGATCGACGAAGTTAAGTCGCGATGTGCACAAGGATTGGCCGCAAATGTAGCGAACTAAAAATCTTTGTCTGGCTAGCAGCAAATGCATTCACCTTGACTTTACATTCATGCTAACCTAACTAGCTCACTCAGCCCCTCAGCTCTCAGATATGCCTAGACGTCGTTCCTTGGTCTCAGGTGGGTGCTTTGCGCTCGCTGAGGGCAAACAAGTCCGTTAAGCAGGCCTGTGTGCCGTGGAGACGTCGCTTGGGTCCACCCTGCTGTTGAGTTCGGTGATGACTGCGCGCAACATTGCCCAGAGTCTCGTCAGTGAATGCTAGAAGCGTTGACGAGCAGGGTGGCATGCTTCCTTTCCTGAACAAGCCCAACTCCGCGATTGATTGGTCTGTCAGCCACGTTCAATCCGTGATGTGCGCAGCTTAACTCGAGAGGCACTGAAATGCCAGATAGCAAGTGAGTTGAAGATGTAGGAATTGCGCAGCATGGAAGGATAACTTAAATTGGAGTCAGTCCTTGGCCGCAAAACAGGGCATGTAGCATGGGGGAGGGGGACTTTGTTTGAGATGTGTGCGTGTTGCAGGAGAGATGCTGATATTGCCTTGAACGAATTTACACGAATCTAAAATTAACGCTACGCGCGTCGCCACATGTCTGGTAACAGTACGGTTTCGGGGGTTTGCAGCGTCTAGGGGGGCACAGAACCAGCCAAGCATCTGGTCCCGTGGAAGCAACAGAAAGTCAGCTGGAACCAGAGGCAGGGGTCCCTGCCCGAAGAAAGTGTGCAAAAGTCCCTTAATTAGGGGTGGGAGTAGCTTATTTTTGTTGAGACGTGAGGGGCTTGTGGCTTCGGCGGAATGGAATGATTAGGTTGAGCTCCCTCTCAATTTCCGGAATATGAATGCAACGAGGACAGAGGAAATCAAGGTCGCCAGATTTTTTGACTGTTGTGCTGCTTCCGTGTCTTCATACGCTGCGTACTTCTATGTTTCTGAAAGGCTTGATGGTTTAATTCGCTTACTTTCTCGCTGGAAGATCTTTCAGACTTGGTGGAGGATTTCTGCAGAGTTGTTATGTTTCTCATTCTCTTGCTTCTTTGTTAACAGTACCGCCTTCTTTTCTTCTTTGGCTTCGCTTTTCTCCCCCTCCCCACCTACCCCCCTCCAAGTGTGCACTCAGCAGAAGAATAGCGGGGCTAGACTTTTTCCGATTTAAGCCCCGCTGAGCTTATGAGAGTTCCGGGGTATGCTTCCTTCTTCTCGTTCTTATGTTTTTCATTCTTACTTTTGTGACGATTTCGAGTTCTCTGTTGTTCAGGTTAAATCATTCTTTCTATTTCTGGTTCCTAGTCTAAACATATATAAATTTGAACTAATTTCAGTAAATGTAAACGCTTGCTCGGGCCGCCTCGGCAGCCAGGGGGGCCCAACGTGGGGTGTAGTGAGCATATGTGCGCATCGCAGACGAAGGAAAGCCGAAGTTGAGGAGGCTAGGGCTCGCTCTCGGCTTCGAGGGGCGCCGTTCCAGGATGCGTCCCGTTGCGGGAAGGGAAGGAGACCGGATCCTGGACTGCTTGTTCTCGATGCCGGGGGTTCCCGGCGACTTTCGCCTCTTTAGCCTATTTCAATGGTAGCCAAGACTGCATGACCATCGGACGAGGGGCTTGATTTTGGATGCATTTTGTACATTCGCTTTGGCAGTCCGGAATGTTCCGCCACGTTCACAGGCATCCTGTGCCGAGCTTGTCATAGCTTCCAGACTCTGCAAATCTGGTTGGGTAAGGAACCGGCGAAATTTTTTGAAAGCATACCATTCGAATCTGCTTCGTGAAAAGGTCTATGAAAACTCACGAGTGGAGCACTATGGCTCCCTCCCCAGTGCTTTAGAAGCTTGGCAGCAAAGAGCCGGTGACTTCAGTCTTCAGTTCTTCAGCAGTAGGACTCTATGGAAACGTATGAAGTTTTGTGGAGTCCCGGCACTGGAGATCGGCATGCCTGACCTGGTGTGACACTGGGGCATGCCACACATCACCAATGTAAGTGTCCCAATAACAATCAGTTGACTGAGGGCTGCTTTGCAGAATCTGAGGATGAAACGTCATACTCTGGAGCCGCATCCATTTTCCAGGTCAAGCTCTCGGTGTATTGGAATGGCATCAGGTACAAAAGAAGCGTTGTGAGTTCTCCGACTTGGATCCGGCAGCAGACCAGACCATACAAAAGCGTTGCCTCTCACTTCGGTTCAAGGGATAACTTGCAGCAACTGAGGAGGTCATCTGCCATATTCTGCTCCCTCGATGTCTGTGTGTGATCTGTGTGCTCAAGTTGCTCTTTCAGAGCACAAATTCCACAATTTGCCTCTGCGAGCTGCGTTCGTGGGCTTTTTGCTGTGCTTTGCTGTGCTTTGGTGCACGTTTGGTGCGCGTTTGGTGCACGTTTGGTGCACGTTTGGTGCACGTTTGGTGCACGGTGAGGTCCCACTTTCAACACGCTGCGTTGCACCTGGAGCCCACCGTCGAGTGAACCTTGATTTTGCGGCAAAAGACCCAAGTAACCAGCTTTTCGCCTAGGGCAACTCTCCAGATTTGTTGTGTTCCAGACAGATCATTTCAGCTCTGAGGCTGCAGATTTTTGTTTCGGGTTTAAGGCTCCAAATGATACACACTGAAGCCTTAAACTTTCGAGTAAACTCTAGACAAGAACCCTAACTCCTAAAACCCTACGACCCTAGGACCCTACGAAGAATTCATCTCTCTCTCTCTCTCACTCGCTCTCTCTCTCTCTGTCTTTTGTCATCTTTCTCTTTTTTCTCCTTCGTTTCCTGAAAGCAAAAAGCCGGGTGTGCCCGAGCTGGTGGGGGTCCACCACTTCCATTTCGTGCTTTGCATGCATGGATGCGAAGAAAGGGGGTCAAAAGGGAGGACCCCGCAGACAAAGGGTGGTGATCTGGTAAAGACGTCAGTTTCAACGTGAGAGAAAAGCGAAGCATAGCAAAGCCATTGGCCGACCTCAGGTGTTTGCGTGGTGTTTGCGAAAGGTTTCGATCATTTTGGTCTCTATGTTACGACAGTTCATGACAGTTCTCATTTCACTCCTTGCGTTCCCCTCACCCTCGGTGCCTCTGAAAGCTTCTTGCGAGAGCAAACTTGTGTCCTGGATTTCCCATGAGACATCTCAAAGAACTTCCTTGCCTGGTCTAGAGTTCATGGGTTCTTTCAGCCTCAGGTCTTGGAGGCCTTTGCCTGCAGAGTTCAGGCGCAGCGGCACCGACTGTACCGATTGCTCACGGGCGCAATTCGTCACCGTCGTCAGGCAAGGATGGGTCATCTTTTCTGGAGCCTGGACCTTGCATAATCAGGGTTGCGCAGGCTCGGGGTTTGGAAGCGAAGCTGTGCTGTTGGGCTAGTTGAAGGGTTTCGTCGTTGCGCATTAGCCTTTCAAGAGCAGCTCGGTACCGAGGTCTTGTGGCCTGAGGTCCAAGTTCCACGTCTCACAGAGGCCTGCAGCACTCAAGCATACTCAAGCTCTGTGGCCACATACATGCCCAATACAATCCCCTCAAGCGCCCTACGGTCCTACGGCCCTACGGCCCTACACGGCCCTACGGCGTACTACGGCCCTACAGCCCTAGCTCAACGAACCGGCAAGACTTCCAATAGAAACCTCAAGCTGATGTCTTGTCCAAGTCGCAAGGCTTCGCCGGTTATGCATGTGCAAACACCAAACCATGTTCTCTGCAAACTGCGTGGCTATGCGTGTCGAAACTCAGATAACAACAGGCAATGTGGGCCCTGCACGACTCTTCAATATCCGAAGCCGACAGTTGTGGGTAGCATCGACCAAGTATGACGGCTGACCGCTGATTAGCCGCAAACGCCAGGTTCGCACTGGCCCAAGGACCAGGATCCGAGTGCCGAACTTGGTTGCAGATTTGAGGTGTTTCTCGGCTGGGGATCGAGAGTTGATTCAGATCACGAACGAGCCTTCCTTTGTTGAGTCCAGCTTTGCTTCTGCCAAGGAGCGGATGTGACCCAGATTTACTAGCACGCTGGCTTTTCACTGCAACTGCTGCGAAATGTGTGGACTTGCTCCGAAGGCTGAATATGAGGCTGGATTAACTGCACAGCAGCTATTCCAACACTAGATGGCTACTGGATGTGAGCTGCAAAGGGCCAAGATGGTTCTCAATTGAGCAAGTCGCACATTCTAGTCTGAAGGCATGAAGGTGGCCAGGATAGAGCACAACGGGCCAGCCTACGGGATGCCAAGGGTATGGCGCTGAAGAAGCACGTCAGCAATTCTGTTTGATGCTCATTCCTGGTCGTTTTGAGGCTCTTGTACTTTAAAAAAGGATCTTGGCCTGAGCCTTGAAGATCACTTTCACTCCGCCGCGTGTTTCCTGCTCGTTGTGCTACTAGGCGCAACAGCAACGCAATCGCCAACAACGTGAATGTAACACGTAGTCAAGAGTTTGATACAGGAGAACACAGCGGCGATGTAGGAGACGGCTGCCTTTCGCAGGTCTCCTCTTAACGTCTCAAATCTTTGTGAACAGGTTGTCCCAGCATGCCATTTGCCGGGCCTCCTGTACACAGCAGCAGCTTCCCAGCCGTCTGCTTCATTAGACAACTTTTGGGATTCTGGTTTCTGCCTCAGGAAGCAACAGACCTTGCACATGTCAGCGTCGACACTGCCAAAAACTGAGCACGGGCATGACACATGTAGGAACATAAGGGACCACTACGCCAATCTTCTAACTGCTTTGCTGTGCCCTTGCTCCGCTTCAAATCAGTCAAGGTTTGGAGTGTGGAGCGTCGCAGTCCTGGACACTCATCGGGCAACCGAAATAGGTTGCTTGAGATCGTGCGTCATGTGCTTCTAACTTTGCATAAACTGACATGTGCGAGCGTGCCCACCGTGTTGTAACAGCAATGAACTGACTAACCTCACACACTGCAATAAAGGCTAGATATGTTGCCATCATGACCGGCATACCGCCATGACTTTCTTTGCCCAGCGCACGGCTCCGCGGAATAAGTGCCAGGCCAGAGCTTGCAGAAGGCATAAAGCAGACAAAATATGGTGGGAGGTAGTAGTTTGATGGTTTGAGCCGAAGTGCTCGCAGGTCCTGGAAGCCCCCGAAGAGCTTGTGGAGCTCCGTGCATCGGGGACAGCGGTGGGGGCCGTGCGGTCAGAGTTCCTCGAACCGGAACTGCCGAAAGCCTCAGAGGTATCGCTTGTTCAAGAAAGGTGCAGGCCCCAGCTCCTTGAGTGCTACGAGCTAAGTGACCATCATTTCACTGCCAGTCCCGCACATGCCATGCTGTCGTCATGCAGGTCAGAAGGAGTGGCAGATCCCATTGGTCTGCTGCGCCTTGGACGGCAAAGGACAGAATTCGGAGCTACCACATTGACTTCTCTCCCGTGAAGCGACTGCAAAGCCCTAGCATGGCTGAGGCAACAGCACGTGGCAAAGCATCTCAGTCGCTCCGTCGTGACGGCTCCATGCTGCGCAATCATTGTGTTGGAAGAGTGCAAGCTCTTTTTTTCGTAGACATATGCAGGTCTTTTTCCAAGTTTGCCAAAGCGGCCGCAGTTCATCACAATTCTCACTGTCTACTGTTGCACTTCTCGGTTGCGAGTCGAGCGGTCGATGCCCGCAAGCCAATTCAATCAGGGGACGAAGTGGCGCCTGGATGGCGCAGACCTGCATACCGAGCCCCGAAACCGAGTCGGAGCTAAATCCGCGACTGGTGACACAAGCACATCTCCTCCCGCCGGGGCTTTGAGTTTCATGCCGTGACATTGGCCTTCCAATACTCACTGAAGAGCTACAAGCACAACATCAAGTGCAAGATAGTAAACGTACCACGGAAAGGTGGCATTCGACGATATGCGACTCGGTGCTGCTTCATCGCAAACCTACATACTAGTATTACTAGTATCTCTTCGCTCGAATTCGAATCCGTCGTGCGTGTCGGGATCTGCACTGGTCCGCAACGTCTCCTTGGATTATGGATGACTTCTCATGCGCTTCTCATACGCGTATGCTGTCACGCTGCGCCCAAGTTTTGCCACAAGCAGCCTGGTTTGTCACTGTGCCCTTACCCAACGCTATCTGACGCTGTGCGTGCTTCTTTGCGGCGACGGCTCATGATTTACCTCTACACGTTACCGCGGGCATGGGCAGGGCTAGACAAGGCGTGTTTAGCTGCGCATACAGACAGGTTGTCGGAAGTCTGCAATTCGCATTGTTCGGCCAACAGTGCGTTGAAATCGCTGGCCACAGGGTCGGCAAATTTGTTGAGCAACTGGTTGATTTAGTATATTTAGTTCCAGCTTCATGCTGCTCGGCATGTTGGTTTTGTTTTTGCCGTTGCTGTTGCTGCTTCTGGCGGGCCTTGTTGACCTTCTACAGTTGACTTTCGAGTCCTTGTCTGCTTTAATACAGTACTGCAGACACGTTACATGTTTGCTGTGCTCTCCAGGGAGACATCACCTATGCCTTCGAAAGACTGGCGTGTGGGAGATTTGTGGCCACGGTCAGTTTCGGAGACGATGAGCTTCAGCCCTGCACGGGCTTTCCGGAAGCAAGAAAGGCCGCTGGTGTCAA